TGCGTACTTGAAATATCCATTGCCTGGGGAATTTCTTCCCCCCTTTTTGCAATGACACTTCTGATGAGGTGGTTTTTATGTTTGCTTTATCACATTGGCGGCTTCGAAAACACTTCGATTATCATTAATCCATCCTTCAAGTTCACCGATGTTCACACACGCTGGCGGGTTCAGATCGCGGGCAGTTCAAGGGAATTCGCGCGAAAAAAAATCAAACATGTTTGTTCCAGATCATGCACCTTGGTGTATGCTCGTGCGCATAGTCATACATAAAATTGTTCTTGCCGCGCCGCGTCGCGCTGTATGGAATCAAAACAGTTTAAAAATTCAGAACATTTGACAGAAACAAAGAAAAATCTAGAGGGACACATGTTGATATTCAGTATTCAGGATATATCCCGCAGGATGTATGGCAACTGTAACAGCGGGGAGTGCGGGAAGGGGAAGTGTGAGTGCTCTCGCAGATTTAATAAGCGTGCCCAATGGGATGCGACATCGATGTCGATGTATTTAATAGCGATGTTTTAACATGGATGTTGTACGTTCGATGTTTTTACATGGTTGATATTGCTTAAATGAAATATAATACACATCATGACAAAATTCTATAATAATTTTCTGAAATCCATAAACACAATATTCATCAGTCCAGCGTGACTATAGGTGAAATATAAATAAAATAAGAGTTTTTAACAGTAAGAAGCCTATATTATTTTTGGATTATCGAATCAGATAACCAGTTTTGTTCATTGTTTCGATGTTTTTTCGACTATTTTGTCAGTTAAATCTCAATTAAAAAATACACGATGCCACTTTCAAATTGAATCCCCAACATGAACGTCAATGGAAATTAATCTAATCGTTTGTTGTTGTTGTTGTTTTTTCTTTCTTTTTTTTTTCTGTCGATGTCGCATCTCTAGAGCCCAATGACTGAAGTAAACTTGGCGCGTCACACGGCGTGGGAACAACTTACACATGGCAGCTTGAAATTCCGAGTCATCGAAAGAGCTGACACGTGCACTTTCATTGGCCGTGATCCCTACAACGTACACAATGACGACAAACTTTTTTCAAGCTACTTATTCCAATTTTCTTTCAATAGTCATTTTCAGATTCCTCATGCAAGCAATTTTATGTGGAAGACGAAACACTGTAGCTACTTTCAGTCGAACGATCTTGTTACGCTAAGATCTTGTAAACCTTTTCGCTCGGCTTATACTAGTTTGTATTAACGTGAACATTCAATTATTTCTTTGATTCCCATCACAGGAAGATTGCCCGAATGCGGAATCTCAAGCACCGCGATGCCCATTTTTGCGGAAGTAATCCGCAAGATTACTAATCTCGCTTAACACATACCCAGACCTGGTCTAGAAGCCTCCAATGAATTGAACCATACGAGAATTTGTTTTATAAAAAAAGTTAAGTAACTCTGATAACTATAAATTCAAAATTTTACATAAAATTCCAAATTTTACATAAATATTGTTTGTACAAAGTTTGCACAAAATTTGCAGAAACATTTTGTAAAGTTCACAAAATTTAAGCAACATTTGTTGCCTAAAAATATACGGCACTGCTCATAAACAGGCGACACTTTGTTCGACTTCCCATAAAAAAATCTTTACATTTTCTGTCATATGGGGAAATATGAGTCGTATGCATCACATATGATACACGTTTCAATAGAAAATAATAACAAAAAGCAAAAAAGCTACAAATTTACGCTGTAATACAAAATAAAACCAAAATAATATAAAATTAAAGTGTTATATAAATGTAAATAATTGACTTTTGACTTATTTATTTCGTATAAAAATATGAGTTCACATTTTGGCGCGAATTTCAAATTTTTAAACAAATAAATTGTTTTTCACTATCGTCCACATTGTTTAAAAATCTGAAAAAAAGTATGTTATAGAACCTTATAAGACACATTCTAGGGAGAAAAACTGAGATAGTTCTCCAACGTTATGTCGAAAATCAATTTCAAAAATGTGTTTATTTTTTCTATTTGAATATTGGTTGACAAAAATACCTTCAAATGCAACGATTTGTCCCCGTCTCTAATTTTTTTCAGCTTGATACATGCAGTAGAAGCTGAGAAAAAATAAATCACGAAAAACACTTCCTCAATTAATCTCTGCGACAGATTACCCTAGGAGGAGGATTTTTTGCGAATCTACATTTTGTATTCTGTTTCATTTGAACATCGTGAATTTCGATTTGGTTTGGGGAAACTTTTCACTACTTTACTCGGCTATACCCTTTTTATTCGCCTCTCGTAGTGAATCTTTGCACCCTCCAGAAAGGGTTCTTGGAATTCTGAAGCACGAGAGAAATGTTGAAACCTTGTCATGTTTTGAAACCAAATTTACTGAAAGTATAAAGCAATGGGACATTTTCATGAGGTTTAATTGCACACCCATAAACGATCAGCTTCTACTCTACTCAATCTGGAAGGACGCTCACACCTTGCACTACAAATTTCCAATACGCGCAGATATTAAAAGAAGATCCTGTAAGAGGTGTCGATGATTTCGATAGAAATCAAGGAACTACGGTTAAATTTACAATGGAACAGTTTCGATTTTGACAGAAAAATGCAAATATTTGATTGTGCTATTCCGCTAATTTTCATATTGCGTCTGAAATCCCACGTTCAGTGGGGCAGTTTACGACACAGCTGAAGTCACGCGAGAGCATCCCTCCAAAGAAGAGGCCATCCGTATAACATGTGTAGCTATTCACGTGTTGCGTCATGGATTAGCAACTTTTTTATATTTTTGGTATGTAAAGAATTGTTCTGTACATGTACTATAACTGTATATGTATTATAGCAGTATGTTATCGTTAAAACTAATAAAATATTTAATTTGTTGTTCTCTTATACAGTACTCCGTGTTTCTTGAGCAGTTTGCTTGCAATTGTTTGGAGAACCATTTGTGTAGTTTTGTTCAGCAGCATTTTTGCTGCTGCAGACCACTAGTTGAATAAAATTCTCGAAACTACGACGTGGGTACTAAATTGTACGAACAACCAAAAGACATACAAAACTACAAATAAACATTAAAATATCACAGTTTTTGCTACACTACGAAAACTAGTTTTTCATACAATGGCACACTTCGTGTACTAGTCAGTTTCCTAATCTCTTTAGTTTGGATTAAGTTTCCATTTTTGCCCCACTCTCTTACCAACTGCAGCTTATCGGCGCCTTAAAGACATTTTCTGCATTTTATCAATTATTCAGTCCCCTAATAGAATAATTGAAATATGACTCTAAGAAGAAGACTTATGGAAGAGTAAAACTTGAAGCTATAAACAAGTTTTCGCTAAATAAAACGGAACAGCTTCTGAGAAATTGTCGTTTGAGCTTTCTACTCATGCGCAATTTTGAGCTTGAGTTTACACAAAACTTTTGTAACAAATGCAATAATGTAAGTATTAACGATGCGACATGACATTTAAAAAAATACATTGTGTATTTTTAAAATGTCAAAAGAGTACATCAAAATGGCATTTGTTCTGTGTAGTTAGCACTAACCATACAAAAAGTTTAAAGAAAAAACTTCGATCCATAACTGAAAATTCTTTTTTGATGTTTTTTCCCATAATTCACTAAAACTACACGAAAACTAATATGTAAAAAAATATACTTGAAATTAAAGTACTAATTGTGGAGAACAATTTTCACATGAAGAAAAAATCTATATTGACCATTGTAGTTGTAAGAAAACAAAAAATTCCTGACTTTTGCATTTTTCGAAAATTTAACAAAAATGACATATTTCATTTCATATGCATATTTCGTTCTCTCCTGTCCCGTGAAAAAGACATACATTTGGAGCCATTTTTTAGAAATCTTAGAAAATCTTCAAGAGGATTCATATAAAGTACCACCAAAAATAAAAATATCTGTTTCAAATTTTAGAGACCTTGACATCAATCAAATCAATAAAAGGAATACGAATTTTGGTAACAATCCTGCTTACGATTGCATTATTAGCATTGTTCACGGTCTGGCGGTCGGACAAACGTTTTGACGTAAACCAATTATTCTGTATCCACAAAAAGGGGATTCTGAGTACACAACGTATTAGAGAGTATTTTACAAGTTTTATCCACTTTAACGGTATCGAGGCTCCATTATACGAGTTTTCTGACGAAAAATCGCCGTTTTTCTCCGCAGAGTACAGAACTTTTCCTATGCTACGTAAGAAGTATGAGAGAAAGTAGAATACAAATATCCAAATGGTTCTATTCAACTTTCTTTGAAAAATCTTGAAACTAGCGATCGTCATACTGCAGAGCAAGTGTGAAACTGAAACAGGATGAGCTACACACCAAATACAAGGGGATTTAATGAAGTGATCATATAAACTTCTCTTCTATACGCTATGACTGAATGTACAGTACCATTTATGAACTTAGTATGAAGAGCTAAGTATTATGCGCACCAGTAACATCAGCGAAGGCGCACACACAGACAATAACCTTACGTAATTACATCGCATACCACATATCAGACATGCATACCCAATGACCTTCGGATCACTATTTTCGTGATGGTTCCGAAAACTAACCGAAATATTCAGCGGATTATCTCGGCATCCCCCAGCAGACAGTGGTGGTTTAAAAAGAGTACCACGAGGAACAAATTATCGATCGTTGTTTTATGTTTAAATAAATATTTGAAATTCCGTTCTTTACAAATACATATCTTTTTCTTCTTCGTAACCTACAAACGTTTTAACTCTCACTTAAAAGTCGTGCTAAGCTCACGCGAAGCTCCACTATTTTTTGACACTACACATAAAAAGTGTGTTTTATTCCCAATTTGGCATGTTGTATATTCAGAAGAGTAGTATAGTACTTCGTTAAGAAGCCAGTAGTATTGGCTGTTTAAAGAACGTACCGGTGATTTTGCACTTTGTTACCTAGCGCCATACACATAAGGGACTATCTGTTCAGGAAAATGTTATATTGTATCAGTGGCAATGTATTTCCCGCCCATATTGACACCCCATTCCCCGGGTGGTGTGTGCGGCAGGAGCGGACCAGAGCGTTGGGTGGCAGCTGATAACGCGCTGCGTGACCCGGGATATGCTGGTGTTCGCGGGCGTGCAAGACACGGAATCGCCACAGGCCGACTGGATCCGCCGCCACCTGCACCGCGACGTGGTGCCGGTGCGCCTCGACCCTCGGAGCGAAGACGACGTCCGCGCCGCTGTGCGATTGGTCGAGGACACCATCGGCGAGAAAGGTAAGCCGCCCACTCATCTCTATATTACACTTCGATTTATACGGCGATTTTCGCAATTGTGCCCCTGCCAGGTATCAGCTGTTGACAGTTTCATCCAATCGAGAACTTGAACGTCACCGCAGTGACGTCACGTTCACGCTCCAGATTGGATGAAGCAGTCAACAGCTGATACATGCCGGGGGCAGAGTTGCATAAATCGCAGTATAAACACAGCGACACTTCAAGGTCACGGGCTGGACGCACAGTCGGGGGGGGGGAGGGGACGCTGTGTTACGACTTAAATTTTTGGTTTTGGAACTCCCGATTGATGACTATGTTCTCATTTCCCACGATCATTAATGAAGGTCTGAATAAAATTAGAGTGTAGTTGACATTTCGTAGACGCGTGATAACGCCATCGCAGCAATCTAGGGAACAGCAAATCAGAAGCTTCGGCATTTGCATATTGTTGTCCCATAAAATTAGGGAACAAATGTAACAAATCTTACGAACAAACTTGTTACGAGTTTCTCAACATTCCTTTTATCTGTTTGCTTAATTAGTGTTGAGAGCACTTGATAGGTTGAACAGAATGCGGCATCAACGCCCCCTCCACACCTAAATATCAACAACTCTTTTTTTTTAAAAAATCTCTTAAAAAGCTATTGGGGATAAATAACTTTTATCTTACTGGATAGGCAGTATAGCGCATCGGATAGATTTACATTCTATTGCTGCTACCAGGAAATCTGCCATCAAATCCCCGTCTGGACAGTCAATTCAAAACCTCATTTATTCCTACAACAATTATCGCGCTAAAAGTGGTTAGAGATCACAACGGTAGTTGACAATTTCAAAACGAAAAGAATTCCCACTGTTGAACCTACGAGTGTGATTAGTTGGTAAAACGTGTGTAATTAACACTTCCCTTAAAGGATGGCCGAAGAGTTGACTTCAGTACCTGAAGTGGTTAGAGCAACTGAGTACGATCGGGAGATCTGCTTTTGATTCCCAGCCGGGGCACTCAGTTCTTTGAAAAATCAAAACTTTTTTTTTAAACATTTTGTGTATTTTATTAATTAGAATTATAAATACACCAATTCGAGTATCTAAAATAAAATTAATAAAAAAATACTGAAATCTACAATTTGTTTTCAAATACTATAGAAATGTTGCGTCTTTTTTAAATTCTTTTAGCACAAATAATGCTACTTTTTTACTCTAACATGCTAACATGAAACTAACATATCCTCAAATATAATATTAGACTTAATTGTCAGCTTTTTTTTATTTTTGCACAATGGTAAAGAAATGCATTTCCAAAAATGTCACACACATACTGACCAAATCTTCCACACATTATAATGTATTATAAATATTTTATCACTAGCAACAATAAAAAAAAAATTAACTTTCTCAAAATAAAATTCCATCAAACTGTTTTTTATTTACATTACAGATTTTGGCACAAAAATTGCTGAAAAATTCATTTGCGCTTTATACTAAATAAAATTCAAATGACTATGCGAAGGTGTATAAAATTCTCTGTACACTATACCTTTGGATCAACTACTTTCAACATTAAGAAAGAAATCCCACAATAAATCAAAATCAATATTACAATACTTATTTAACCAATTGTTGTGCAAAAATGCTTCCAAATTATTTCCACAATTACAACATAAATGTTCCATATAATACAGTGAATTATTTAAAACATGTGTTTCAGAACTAGTAGGAATTGTTTATGCTGGATACGCAGCTCCCAAACTAGCAGAAACATTGGACTTGGAAGAGGTTCGCAGAGGTATTGAAATGAGTGCCCTGGGGGCTGTGAGAACTGCTGAAGCTTTCACTCCATTACTCAAGAAATACAAAGGGAGATTCATCATGGTAGCAGACATGGCTGGTAAAATTCTTCAGAAACATAATATTATGAAGGAAAAAATGAAATTTTTATCAATAAAAATCTTTTATTACTCTCCAATTCACAGGTCAAATAGTAATACCATCCCTGCAATCCTATTGCATGTCTCAAGCTGTTACACTACAGTTTGTTAAAATAATACGCAACAATCTAAAAAAACATGGTGTGTCGACCCATATTATTCAACCATTCCTATACTAGTAAGTAACAAAAACGCAAAACTATAATATTTTTTTGAATGTTTACTTTAATATTTCTTTATTATCAGCTACCAGAAAACGCAAGAAGACTACTATTATCCATATACTACAGAGGATGGAAAGGTAAGCAACAATAGTTATACAAGATGTTTGGAAAAAATTTGATTTGTTCAATAATTTATTAATCCTCAATAATAGGTTGTTGTGGAAAGTAATGTAGATGGAACAGACTTCACGGCCTTTCGCATAATGATGAGCATTTTCGATGCACTGATGTCAAAAAATCCAAAGGTATGTTTACTAAGATCGTATTATTATAATATCAACGTAGTATCACACAATGTACCAATTAATTCTCTTTTCTTTAAAGGAATATTTCACACCAACTTACCCAGAGCTTTTGCTACATACACTCATCAATTTTTTTCCGCCGTGTTTGTACAATCGTTTGGCGGATCACCTTTTCATGAATCTAACGAAGCAAAAAGAAATGCATGATAATCGTAAGGACAAGTCAGCCCTTCTCAGCGCTTCAACTGTTAAGTGACTGCATTTCATAATAAGCATTTAATGAGAATTTCAAGTCAAGAGGACAATTATGCGATTGACATTGGGCAACGACTAGTCCACTCGTAAACGCTACATAAGCATTTCACGAAGTTCACACTTCCCGGCGTACCGTGGAAATTTCTATGAATGCAGAACAAATACAGAACACTTAACCTAAAAAAGTTACTTACGAAAAGCATCTTCAACAGCTGGATAGTGCCACGTAACGTCTGCACAATATATACAACAGGCTTATATATGAAAACCAAAATTTCACAAATATTAATCCCCTCTCAACAAAACCCCACTGGTCGTTGTTACAAGTTACGAACTTGAACTATGGACAAATGTTAAGTTGGCAGTGACGACTCTTAAGATAGTTTACCAACATTCACTTTTAGTTTTAAATAATAGCGGGAGTTAAAAACGTTTTATTCTGTGAATTGCAAAACCAGCAACGGGTCTACAAAGTCTTGTAAATAAATCATAGGCTGGGCATCTATGTTAAATAATAATAGTAATGAAAAAAATTAGAATAAATGATATTAATCGTACAGTAACACGTATACAATATACAATACTGTATGTATTGTAAATGTGTTTGATTTACAAGAGAATGTACAGAATATCTGAGGTGTTTTGCAAACCAGTTTATTTAAAAATTTATAGGAAACTAAAAAACAAAATTAACATTATAGTTGTAAAATTTTAAATGCCAAACTGCATTATTATGTTAATATTAATGCTATATTCACAAATGGTGAGAAATATATTATTTTTTTAAGTATTTCACCTCATTGTAAGATGTTTTACTTTCACAGCCTTTTATCGAGGTTACAATGAGCAAAATAGTATTTTATGAAATATTGAAAGTTTCTATTCAATTGAAAAGAAAACCCAACCAATTCCCCCCCCCTCCCAAATTTGGGGAAATCATAAAAAACAAAATAATTTCATAAATACACAAGAAAGGAGAAGTCATATTAATAGTAACAAGACACATTCAAAATATTTTAACACAAATTTTTAAAGTTATTACCCACATAAATTTTCTTGTCAATACTTTCAAAACTATTAATGATTCCTCATATCATAAAATGTATTACCTTCAGAAGTGAGGAAAAGGAAGTTGTTAATGATTGTTAAAAAATTTCAGTTTTTAATTCAAAACTTTGTTTTAGAGGATATAATTCACAATTTTATTAGGACCCTTTACTGAGAAAAATAATATAATATATAATTTTCAATATTATTTCAGGCCTTCATAAAAAATTGTTTTTGGAAAGAATACCTTAATGGAAACTAGGCCTAAACTATAACTTTTCATGTTAATCTTTTGGGATTCAGTTACAAAGTTTCTTATCCAGCTCTCTTAGTTACTTTTATTGAAACATTATCTTTATTTCGCTGCAGCTGATGTAATGTGATGTAAGTCGCAAGCAAGATCAGTCAGTGTTCAAGTTTAAGAATATTATTGGTATCGCCCATTTTGTCATTTTGTATACATATGTAATATTTTGTGTCATCCATACATCCTCATTACCTGTAAATAAAATATTGCTGATAATTGAATTATTTAATTTGAGAAATAAGTGTCTCCACTTCTCTTTCTCTTTTTTTTTGGTTTCTTTCTCTTTCCAGATCCAAAGCATAAAATGGGCCCAACAACATGCATTAATTTTATTAACCAATGCATTGTGAAAACTATTTAAAAGAAAGCCTAACTAAAAACATTTGATGATTTTCAACATAATTAATGGGAAGTCCAAATGTTTAACACAGAAGGCATCAAAGAGATATAAAAGGATCTCAAAACTTAACAAAACTTTTTAGTTAATAAACATTTTGGATTCCTGAATAACATAAAACAAAAAGTTAACTTATTTAAGTTAAAGAATTAAATTTGGTTCACGGGATTGGTCAATGTGGTTAAAGAAACAAATTAGTTACGCCAACATTTTGAAATATATAATTTCTTCATCAGGGCTCATCTCCCTCTTTTTAAACACATAGAACTCATAAAACTTGGACCCCCCTTTCAGTGAGACATTCCCTCACACTGAGTTCATTTAAGTTCATTCAAAAATTACATGATGCGACTCATAAAATTACGATAACAATTTTCTCAAGTTCTAATTTCTTTTTCAATTTTTTACTATTTTTTCTCCATTAGTCCCACCATCGGGCTTCATGACTTGCGGGGCCCTAGATGATTGCCCAGTTTGCCCATGCCATCCCCTGCACTGGCCGGTAGAATCTTTGCCAAAAATGCATGGCAAAACACTCATAATTCACTCTGATGGTTATAGAAGTGAGTGGAGGAAAAAAATTATTATTGCAATTAGGTGTGCACAGCCTAAACCAAGAAAGGGTCAATTATATTTCTGGGTCACCTTTTCCGTTAAGCATTTTTTATTTAGGATATCATATGACAAATTTACTAGTAAATGATAATAAAGTATACTTCAAGTATAATTAAATTACAGCTTTAATGATACAGTCCTACAACTGTTTTCACATTATACCATTTTCACAAATACCAGATGTCTTAGAGAACTTCTTTCCAAAATTTTCTACAATAATTTTCTCAGGGAAAAAAGAGAAAAACGGGGATTGAACATATTTACGGAAATAAAATGTGTTATTGCATACGGCTTAAGCCCGGTGTATAATATGGGTATGATGGGTTACTATTATCACGCGAAAAATTCCGAGTGGGTAAAATATCCATTCGGAATTTGCGGTGAAAGAAAAATTTCATAAACGCCAAATTCCATACATGAACGAAATTTATCAACTTTGCGTCGACTCAAAACGTGTATACGATCAACTATGTAGCGAGATCGGCTCAATAACATTGCGATTTTACGTGTTGATAGCGACATGACTGACAAACTCGAATTACAAAAAATAGTGTCAAGTGAATTTATACAAAACTAGTGGTGCTGCCAAAGCATATACTTTCTGGCAATGTATCTAAACGCTCAACAATATATTGATTTGCGCATTGTATTGAACAATTGATTTGATGTGACGTACGTTTTAAAAATAGAACACGAGAATTGTACAATTGATTGAAATTTCAGAGTACGAAAATGATATACAGGCACTTTCACTTTATTTTAAAACGTAATAAAATTGTATATGTACATAGAATTGCTTCAAATGATTTTCAATAAAGTTTTTAAAATTCTCAATAGTTTTCTGCCCCCACAAAGAGTTATGACAAGTAATTATCCACAAAACAGACTCCTACTAGCGGCATTTCCCTCCGAAACGTGGAGCCCGAACCTCACATTTAACCACTTCAGCCATTCGCGTTATGCATTTCACTTCTATACTAGTCATAATTACAAATCCAATAAGAGATGTGGAAAATAGTTTAGAAGTTGAAAAATCGAAAATCACGTACAGACACTTCCAATTTATTTATCTTAATTCAATTTGTGATTAGAATTGCTTCAAATCTTTTCCAATAAAGTTCCTGGAAATATGAATTATTTGACAAAAACATTCACTTACCAGGACTCGGACCAGCTATTTTCCTCTTCGAAGAGCTGACTCCATTTATACCGATTAACTCCTCGGCCATCAGAGTAGAACACAGGTTTTACACTTGCATAATAGTAATAAGCGTATGGTGGTTTCAGTTCTAGCATTAAGAAGCCGAAAAATCGAGAAAATGTGAAAAAAATGTCCTTTGGGCGACCAAAGAAGGTATCTGGGCAGAGAATCAGTCACAACTGAAATCCTAGTTTAGACTAAAGAGATTACAAAACTAAATACTGCAAGAAAATCTTTGCCAATCAGTAGCACCACTAGTTTATTTATTATTTATTTATATCTTTCTTTCTTTATTTAAAATGCAAATTTACTATAACAAACTTTTTCTGAGCCAAAAATATCTTCAAACTTGTAGTTTTGAATTCATCTGCAGTTTTCGAAAAACCGAGCAATACCCGAAAATGGGACTAGCACCATATTCCTAACCGTTCTTTATTACATTTATGGAGATAATTTAAAGCAAGAATTTGGAGCCGTTTTTGAGAAGAAAAAAATTCGTAAATTTCAAGCGCAAATTACCCCAAAAGACTCACTTTTACAAAAAAATGTACATGACCTTTTCTAAAGACCAACTTTTTTACATCAGACTTTGCTTGAGCTAAAACCTCTATCTTCAATTTTGTAGTTTTTAAACTTTTTTTGTTAATATTTTCGAAAATTTGGGGAAGTCAGCAAAATTGAGATCTAAACTACTGGCTTAAACGCGCGATCTGCACTATTGAACAACAAAATTTAATCAAAAAAAGGAGCTGTTTTGAGAAAATTTTGAAAATGTGTTTGAGGCTTCGTGTTAAATACCCTCAAGATCAAAATATGAGTTTAAAATTCCCAAAACCACGAGATCATTCAGATCGATTGAGAAATATCAATTTTGAAGAAAATCGGGTGAACTGTTTAGGGGGTAGCGTTGACCACAGACAGACGTTTTGCCGTCAAACGATTTTTCGGTATGAAGAATCAACAAAACATGGACTAAGCTTACATCATGAGTTAGAGGATTTTTTTCTAAATTTAGCAACAAGATTTATCTACTTCTTCGTTACCAAAACCAGGCAATAAGTTGTTTTTTTTTTTGGCAAAATTTCGACCTTTTCTGGCGCACGATTACATAACTCTCTTCTTACGAAGAATTCGTAAGGCGAGAAAGTAAAAAGCGCAGCACTGTTTTTACGTTGCGAAAATGTACTGCTGAAGTTACACAAACTGTGACAACAATTTGATGACAATTCAATGATAAACACGACACTTGAAAAATAAATAGAATTAGTATTTTTCCCTTCATATACATTTTCCGTGGGAGGTGGAGGGGGAGGGTCAACTACCCACTCGGGCTATACACCAATCGCCTTAGAGATCTTCGAAAAATTACGTACCGCTTTAGGCAGGGGGATGGGATTTGAGGCTGCATTATGCTGTGCATTATATTACGCAAGAGTAGGGGGTATTAATTTAGTGCTACATATCATTTTTTTTTTACATTTTCCACCATCTACTGAAAAAAATCCTTTTTTTGTCTTGTACTAAAACATTAAATGTTAACTAATTAATTTGTTTTTAAAACATAAATAAATTAAAGTTATTAGATGTACATTGTTACAATAAAAGAAATATTTTTTCTTCCTTTTTTTAGTTAAATCTGTAAGATTACAAAGAAAATATTCAAAACAGTTATGTAGTATATTAGAAAATCCATTTTAACTGGCGCAGTACGCTTCGCTCATGCGTCATCCACGACAGCATGTGCATGGCTTGTGAACAAATTTTTTTTCGCCTGCGCGTCCTTCCTTCACTCTCAACTTGCCCCAAACTTATTGTTAGGTGCAGTCAGCATCGCCAACAAATTTCGACTTAAATTATCGTTAATTATAATATTCAACACAAGTAAAATAAATACAAAATGTTTTTACTGTGCT